CACCTCAGCCTCCCAAAGTGCTGGGATTACAGGCATGAACCATTGTGTCCAGCCTCATTGTGGTTCTGAATTGCATTTCCTGGATGTCTAATGATACTGCATATATTTTCATGTGTTTACTGGTTATTTGTACAACTTCTTTTTTTTTGAGACGGAGTTTCGCTCTTATTACCCAGGCTGGAGTGCAATGGCGCGATCTCAGCTCACCACAACCTCCGCCTACCATGTTCAAGCGGTTCTCCTGTCTCAGCCTCCCATGTAGCTGGGATTACAGGCATGTGCCGCCACGCCCAACTAATTTTGTATTTTTAGTAGAGACGGGGTTTCTCCACGTTGGTCAGGCTGGTCTCAATCTCCCGACCTCAGGTGATCCACTGCCCTTGGCCTCCCAAAGTGCTAGGATTCCAGACGTGAGCCACTGCGCCTGGCCCAGTCTTTTCCCTTTCTTGATAGTGTCTTTTGAAGCACAAAAGTTTTCAATTCTGAAGTCCAATTCATCTATTTTTTTCTTTTATTGCTTATTTGAGTTATAATATCCCTCTTTTCTTTCACATATATAACATTTTTCATCAAGAGAAACACAAACCTCCCTTACAATTTTTCTAACATATAATGTGCACTCATTCATCAATCTTACAACATACAATCAGGCAAGTCCTTTTGAGTACTGAACTAGTTTGGAGTTACAGAATACCACTGCTACGTAAGTACATAAAATGAACTTTTCAATTTCCAGTTTTGATTTCTTTGACGAAAGAAAGTGAATGCAGAGTACTTAAGAGCAATCAGACAGCAGAAACCTATAATTTTTTTAAACAACTTTCCCTATATTTTTATTTATTTATTTATTTTTGACACAGGGTGTGGGTCTGTCTCCCAGGTTAGAGTGCAATGGCATGATCACCATGACCGCCTGGGCTTAAGCAATCCCAACTCAGCCTCCCAAGTAGCTGGGACTTAAGGCGCACAGCACTATGCCCTGCTAATTTTTGTATTTTTTGTAGAGACAGAGTTTCACCTTGTTGCCCAGGCTGATCTTGAACTCCTGGGCTCAAGCCATTCACCCACCTCGATCTCCCAAAGTGCTAGAATTACAGGCGTGAGCCACTGTGCCTGAACCCCCATATTTTTGTAGTTTCTTCTCCACATCTAATTTGAGAGCAATTTTTCTTTTTGAGACAGAATCTCACACTGTCACCCAGGCTGGAGTGCAGTGGCGCAATCTCGGCTCACTGCAACCTCTGCCTCCCGGGTTCACGCAACTCTCCTGCCTCAGCCTCCCAAGTAGCTGGGATTACAGATAGCCACCACCATGCCTGGCTAATTTTTGTATTTTTAGGAGAGACAGGGTTTCGCCATGTTGGCCAGGCTAGTCTTGAACTTCTGACCTCAGGCGATCTGCCCACCTCGGCCTCCCAAAGTGCTAAGGTTACAGGCGTAAGCCACCGTGCCTGGCCCAAGGGTAATTTTTCAAATGCCTTACCCTTGAGTATTTCCAATACATTCAACCTAGTTTTCTTAGAAACAATAATTTATTTTAGAACTTATAATTCACCAGTTTTATTTAAAAAAATAAGCTTAGAAATAAAATTGACTCTCAATAAGAATATAAATTAAATAGTGGAAGAAAAGTGGAAGATGCACTAAAAATAGGCTTGTCTTGAATATAAAGTATCCTGTGGCCATCCGACAGCATGGTTTCCAAAGCAAAGAGAATTTCAGCTTAAATCAGTCAACAAGGTTAAGAGGAGACCTTTTCCTATAAAAGTACTGTAAACATGATATTAACAGGTACAATGCAAACCAAAGCACTTTCAGTTTACAGTATGATAGTACAAAATGAATACATCCAAGCCAGGAGTGACGATGCATGCATCCAGCTCCAGCTACTCGAGAGGCTGAGGTGAGAGTCTTGCTTGAGCCCAGGAGTTTGAGCCCAGCCTGGGCAACACAGTTAGAATCCATCTCAAAATTAAGGAAAAGGAAAAGAAAAAGGCCAGGCACAGTGGTTCATGCCCATAATCCCAGCATTTTGGCAGCCCAAGGCACAGCAGATCTCTTGAGCCCAGGAGTTCAAGCCCAGCCTGGGCAACATGGCGAAACCCTGTCTCTACTAGAAACACAAAAAGTTAGCCCAGCATGGTGGTGTGTGCCTGTAGATTCAGCTACTAAGGAGGCTGAGGTGGGAAGATAGGTTGAGCAGCCCAGGAAGTTGAGGCTGCAGTGGGTTGTGATCACACCACTGCACTCCAGCCTGGGCCACAGGAGTGAGATTCTTCCTTAAAAAAAAAAAAAAAAAAAATTCCAAAGCTGGGGAAATGAAAAAGGAAATAAAAACATATGCATTAAGAAATAATTTCCAATAGTTCAGTACCTTGTGCTTCTTCCAGTGGTGAAGCCCTGTTGAAGAGATCTTGGTCCTGCAAGGATTCTGTAGCTCTGGCTGGCTCCTCTTCTGGTCCTGCTGTCTCCATTTGGAAAGCTGACTGTTTGCTGAGAGCATTTGACAAACGCTGACTTTCCACATAGCTCTTTTTCCTAGAGATAGAACTTTTTTATTAGGAAACAGAAGAATGATAAAATGTTAGTTACCTTGGGTAAATCTACAAAATATCTATTAATCAGTTATGTGTTTCACCTCTCAAAAAGAAAAAATGGAAGCAACGAAAGGAAACATTTGAGTCTAGCCAGAGAAGTACAACTGCTAACACTGCATGGTATTCGGAGGACCGAATCAACCTTTTGGGTCCAGTGATATACGGTCTACCAAAATCAAAGAGAACGACATACAGCTGCTCTTTCTCTCAAGCAGCAAAAAGTGGTTTTTTTATCTCCAGAATAAGTATCCTTGAAACCAGGCTACATAATACAGCTTTCTAAAATCTGCAGACTTAAAGGATATTGGCATATTTGCCAAAATAGCCAAATCTCTGAATTAATAAAGGTTTCAATTGTTTTTACTTTTATCCCTAGTCCTGGTTCTTGTCCTTATCTTTCTTTCTGCCTCTGCTGTTTTCTGTGTGGATGAAAGTATTTTTCTTACAGGCAATTTTCCTCCCACCCTACTTCAAAAACTCTTGGGTCTAGAGCAGCTCACCACAGAAAGAGGAGGAGTGGGAATGGAACTTCAGGAAAAAGCCTCTAAATGCAACAAATTCATTACATGACATACTGATACCAAGAGCCAGACTCAAATTTGGCCAGGCTGAATTTTTTTTAAAAGCCCTTCCATATTTCTCAAATCCCAACCCTTCATGCCTGAGGCAACACTCCAACTCTAACTACAATTTACTTCCCAGTTTCTCCATCTCTTTACTGGAGCTGTAGTACATACAAAGTCACCAGCTTAAGCCAAAGGTGCACTTGTGGGTAGGTACAGGAAAACTTCATTGAGTACAGGAAAGGAAAGGCATAGGTGGAAAGACTATGCATAGTTACAAAGTCAAGGGGTAGCAAGGACAGAAAGGAAAAGAGGTGGGGGAGCAAGATGGTGACAGGAAATAAATAAACAACAAGTCAGGACGTTTAGGTCCATATTTTAAAGCCCCACCCTGAGAAAAGCATGCAGTATGACCACCAGAACTTTAGAATGACAGGGTCAGTTGAGAGCAGAGCACTCCACATTCGCCACCATCCCTCTAAAAAAGCTACTTCGTCAAAACTACAGATATCCTCTATTTTTATTAGCTCAAAACAACTTTTCAAACTAAGTCACAAGTTTCAAGTTAAACAGGAAAGAGCAACTTCCAAGTGTCCAATAAAATGACAGCAAGGAAAGCTATAAAAGTGAGGCAATCTGGGCAAGAGCTACCAGTCCTCACCCATGCTTACCCCAGATTCTGGAATCCGAAAAGCAGACGGGGCGTGCAGGGGAAAGAAAGATGGGGTGTGCAGGCGGAAAGAAAGCCGCAATCCAAGAACGGAAGGGCCCGGAAGCAGAGAAGGAAACAAATCTGCCAGGAAGAACCACAAAAATGTTCCGTGGCTACAGGCAGGAGGAGGGCAGGAGGGAGTCAGGAAGAACCACAAAAATGTTTCGTGACTACAGGCAGGAGGAGGGCAGGAGGGAGCCGGGGGCGGCAGGAGAGGGTGGACTGAAAGCCCGGCATGAAGTGTGGCAGGAGCGCCCACCCTTCTGCCCCACCCCAGAGACAACAGCCATGCACACACAACAGCGAACACCTGGCAAGGGGGAGGGAAGCGCTTGCCTGCAATCAAAGCACAGAAAATGCCTGTGGAGAACGAAGTCACGGCAGTAACAACGGCCCAGAAGAAAGCATTAAACATCTGGCATAAAATGTAAGACTCCAGCCTGCGCACTCTACAGTAAACGGCCAGGAACAACGTCCCTCTTGCGGGGAAGTCAATGAGAAACGAGAGTTACATACACAACGGATAAGGATGCCCACGCTAGGCAGCCTAGAAGCCAGCCACAAATCAGACGAGAAAAACAGGAGCAGTTCAAGAGACAAAAATAAAAATGAACAAACTATACAAGCAGCCCTGGAGAAAAGGAACAGTTTACAGAACTTTCAAAATTTCTAATTAGAATCTTCAGAAGTATCCATGTAGCTGTTACACTCAACCCTCGGTATACATGGGGGACCGGTTCCAGGACCCCTGCGTCTACCAAAATATGCCATATTCAAGTCCCACAGTTAGCACTGACTACATTCAGGTTTCACATCCACAGATACTGTATTTTCCATCCACGTTTGGTTGAAAGAAATCTGCTTGTAAGTGGAACCACACAGTTCAAACTCGGGTTGTTGGAGGGTCAAGTGTACATCCACAAAAACGGCCCATTTTAAAAAAAGGTCAAAAAAAGAGCTCTCATGATTAAAATTATGATTGCCAAATGATTTAATGAGCAGGGAGAAAAAAAGAAACTTATCTAGAACAATGTCTTTTTGCACTAAAACAGAAAAAAAGGGAAAAAAATAGAAATAGAACAACCCAGGCAATCCAAAACAGCAGTTCTGGAAAAAGAAAAGGAAAAACTAGAAGAAAAGCCGTAATTATCTAGAACTGATCTCCAAATCAATGCCAATTAGAATTTAGTGAATGGGGGAAAACAGCCCCACCCACAAGGGACTCAGACGGGATTCTAAAATTTCCAGAGAAAACATAGTTCAGATAAAAAACCAAGTATTGAGATTACACCAGACTTCACGTACAATGTAGCAGTATCTTCAAAATTGTGTGAAAATTTATTTTCATCCTAAAATTCTGTACTCAGCTAAAATATTAATTTATTCGAAGATTAGAATAACGACATTTTGAAACACAAATTCCCTCCTCCCCAAGAAGGGGTCAAAGAAGTCACCCCTCACCGGGAGACTGGGGCTTTGCCTCTCCCGGCTGCTGGCCCTCCAGTACAGCGTCCAAGGAAGCCCTATACTCAGACCAACAACTCAGGGCTTCAGACTGTTCAAAACTCAAGAGCTAGCTCCAAGCACTTACCTCTCCCCAGGCACTGAGTCTAAGACTCCATCTCGCCAGGCCTCCCGTCTTCCATCAACAAGGACCAACAGGACCAGTTTCCAGAGCTCCTGCCTCCAGCAAGAGTCAAGGGGATACCCTCAAGATGCCCTCCCATCCCTGACATTTGCGGTTTCCTCACAGCAACAGGTGAGTGGGACTACCTTCCCAATGCCCTTTAACTACCGAATTTCAGCTCCTAAAACCAGCCAGGATGCCTCACTGCTGGCACTCCAAGCCCCTTAAGACTGCCCAGCGCTTCTACTCCCCAACAAACAAAACCCTTCTACTGTGCCTTCTGTAATTGACAGAGCTGGGTTGACAAGATCTGCCATTCCTGAATCCCTTCTCTGAACATTCCTTTCACCTTACTGCTTTAATGAAAGCCTGAATATCCTGTGAGGACATTACTACCCCCAAGCTCTGACAAGGGGGGACCCTCATCTCTCCCACAGCCGTGGCATCATCACCTGGTGTGGAGATGGAATATATACGCCCTTCTTGCCCTCAGTGCCACTTCCAGGTCACTCTCCCTAGAGCCTCACAGCTCTGAATCACCTGCTACCCCTCTTGCCTCTAGTACCACAACTATATGATGCTGACCCCATCTGCACCTCCAACCCATCTGTACCACCACATCACTCTCCCTCCCACTGTCCATACCCTCTCCTCCTCCTTAACCTAAAGCCCATGGCCAATCTCAGCAACCTTGTCCCTTACTCCCTTTATAAACTACAACCCTGGTTAAATCCAATTCTCTGCCTCCTCTTCACCGGCACTCCTAAGCTCAGTGTGACTGGAGAAACATCACAATCACCCTGAACAGTCATGCCCATGGCCCTCAAGTTGGGCCCTTGATGTCGTCTAGGAATCCTAACATTTCAACCCTGTCCATTCATTTTCCTATGCTCCCATGTGATAATTTTACATCTTTTTTTTAAACCACCAAACTCCTCCTCCTCCACCCTCACTCTGACTTGATGATTATACTTCCTACTTCACTAACCCTACTTTTAGCCTGAAGCACTGAAAAGGTAACTTCCACAGATCCTTACCACTACATGCACCCACCCAGGACAGCCTCCCACCTGTTCCCGCAAAGGAACTGTCCGCAGTCCTACCCAGCTAAAGCCATTCCCCGCACTGCACATTGTGGCCTACCCTCTCTTACTGACACAGACGTTACTGCAGCAATTCTCTTCCCTTTCTACATCGGCAAGTTTTACCCTTTCCAGGAGATTATTCCTGTTATCATGTAAACAAGTAGCAACTTCTCCCACCACAAGAAAAAAAAAAGTGAAACTTTTCTTCACCCACTACAACCATCCAGCTATCACAACCTCGTTTCTCTACTCCCTTTCACAGCAAAACTCCACAAGCTGTCTACTGCCTCTAACAGTAACTCCCGTTCTCTCTGAAACCCACTCTGAGTAGGCCATCACGGTGCCTGTCCCTGCTTCCACCAAACTACTTACTGGGGTTCCGAATGACCTAATCTATGCTAATTCCAAGGGTCAATTCTTTGCCCTCATTTTATTTGACATAGTTGGGTAACTCTCCTTTTAGACATGCTCTGGACATGGCTTCCAGGATGCTCTGTTTTCCTCCTGCCTCTAATCACTAACTCTTAATCTCGCTGTTGATTCCTCCTGTCCCCAGCTTCTCACCGTGAAGCATCCTGAGGACCAGGCCTGGTTGCTCTCTTCCATCTGCCTCACTTCCAGACAGTCAAGACTCAGTGCCATGCTGCTCCCTCTTGCCTCCTACAGTCTCTTCCATGTGACAGCCAGAGTGGGCCTTTTTTTGAGACAGGGTCTCACTCTGTTACCCAGGCTAGAGTGCAGTGGTGCAATTACGGCTCACTGCAGCCTGGATCTCCTGGGCTCAAGTGATCCTCAGAGAGGGCCTTTTAAAACACAATTCAGATGTAGCCCTTTAGTGGCTTCCTGTATCTCTGAGTCAAGGTCCTGCTCACCACCTCGCCAGCCTCCCTGTGCTCTGTGGACCACGCGGGCGACGAGTCAAGGTCCTGCTCACCACCTCGCCAGCCTCCCTGTGCTCTGTGGACCACGCGGGCGACGAGTCAAGGTCCTGCTCACCACCTCCCCAGCCTCCCTGTGCTCTGTGGACCACGCAGGCGACGCTCCTGCCTTAGTTCCTTCAGGCTGGCTGCACCTTTGGCCTGAAGTCTGCTCCCCCGGGCGTCCACATAGTTAACTCCCTCCCTCAAGTCTTGGCTCAACTCTGTTTTCTTCTTTTTTTTTGAGAGAGTCTCACTCTGTTGCCCAGGCTGGAGTGCAGTGGTGTGATCTCGGCTCACTGCAACCTCCACCTCCCACGTTCAAGCAATTCTCCTGCCTCGGCCTCCCAAGTAGCTGGGATTACAGCCACATGCCATTACACTTGGCTAATTTTTGTGTTTTTGGTAGAGATAGGATTTCACCATGTTGGCCAGGCTGGTCTCAAACTCCTGGCCTCAGGTGATCTACCTGCCTTAGCCTTCCACAGTGCTGGGATTACAGGCGTGAGCCATTGTGCCCTTGGCTCATATCTTATGTCCACAATGAGACCCATACTGAACACTGCCTTCAGCCTTCCTAATAACCCTCCTTATCATATTCTGTTTTTTTCTAGTACTTTTCCCTTCTAATATACTGTAAAATTAGTATATTTTAGTGTCTTGTTTAACATCCGTTGTAATCACTGGCATTTCCTACCCACTTGGAAAAGTGTGTGGCGCACACAGTAGGTACTCAGTCAAAACTGCGCAGCAAAGGAATGAATACACAAGGGTTAACATCTTTAATACAAAGAAAGCACTTATATATAAAGACTATCAAGAGGCAATTCACAACATAAATATAAGTAATGAACAGACATTAAAGTAGGTTCAATTCCATAAATACTCAAATACAAATTTAAACACAGAAAACAAGATTGTCTGTAATACCACCATTACCATTTTGGTTTTTTAGACTTCCAGACTTTCTTCCATGCATACACACATGTGTATTATATAAATTATTTTTCCCTCCAAAAATCAAAGATTAAAACTAGCATCATCAAATGTCGGGCAGGGCTGAGGGAAGCTGGCATTTTCATCATACGTCTACTAGGAGAAGAAACTGGCACAAGTTTTCTCAAGAGCAATGTGTTAATTTGTCATGGTCTTTAAAATACACTGTTTTTACCTCAGCAATTTAAACCCCAGAAACCTTAATAATATCCTAGGTGTGAAAAATGTATATATAAATGTACATATAGGGAAGTTCATTACATTTATAATAGCAAAACTGGAATAATCTAAATGACCAACATAGATCTGAGTACACAGTCCATTAACATTATGACACAGATTCATATTAATAGTAATTGAAAGCTGAACATAATACTGCATCTTAATTTTTTGTGTAATAAACAGAATAAGAGTTTAACTTATTTTGTTAAAAAAATAAAAAAATTTTCATTTTTTTTTCTATAGTTTCATATTAGAAGTAAAAAGATTTAAAGGCATAAATGCACATACAAAAATTTGTAGTATGGAAGACTACAAATAAAAATGTACTAAATGGCTGTTCTCTATTTAGTGGGATTATAGGCCTTTACTGTCTTCAAATAATTTTCTATACTCTCCGTTTTTTTCAATAGCACATGTTAATTTTAGAATAAAAAAAAAATGTTTTGAAAGACTAAAACTGTGATTAAAAAGCATAAAGAAAACTCTTGGCCGGGTGCGGTGGCTCACACCTGTAATTCTAATCCCGGTACTTTGGATGGCCAAGGCGGGCAGTTCACTCAAGGTCAGGAGTTTGAGACTAGCCTGGCCAACATGGTGAAACCCCATCTCTACTAAAAATACAAAAACAATTAGCTGGGTGTGGTGGCACATGCCTGTAATCCCAGCGACTCAGGAGGCTGAGGCAGGAGAATTGCTTGAACCAGGGAGGCAGAGGTTACAGTGAGCCAAGATCACACCATTGCACTACAGCCTGGGCAATGGAATGAGTGAAACTCCACCTCACAAAAAAAGAAAAGAAAACTCTTAAAGATTCTTAGAATTAATCAGAATTACTTAGAGACACAATCACATTGTCACTTTCCACAAGACTGCGTAAGACCTACTTTTAACATAGTACAAGCAAACGAAGGCATGAACTTACTCGTCATCCTGGAAGCTAAGCTGTAACCTCTCTCTTGGTTCAGCATCACTCTGGCTTCCGGGAGATGACCCAGATGGAACTGAAAATCTCTCTTCTACTAAGTAAGATGACTGGACATCAGGATACCTACACAAGAAAAAAATTTGTTTTAATTGTTAAGAATTAAATTACACATATTTAAATGTCATCATGACATAGGGCTGCATGACAGTAAAACCAACCACCAGGGACAAAAACAAACAGGGCTCCTGTATTTCAAACCATGATCCTCTGTGCAAAGCACGGAAACCTGTGGCTCAGCAATGGGGAATTCATCTGTATTCAACAATACAGTCACAAAAAATCTTAAAGCTATAAGAGCTGACAGCGTTAATACAACCCCTTCGTCCCAAAGGTCAAGATGATGCTCCTCACTAAATGTTTAGGTTGAGAGAAGATGGGAAAGTTTAAGCATAGGCAAACTTTATACGTTACGCAAGACCCTACATGGAATGGATGTATAAACCATACACAGTCCAGTTGAAGATACAAAACAAGGTGTATTTAACCAAACATCAATCTGGTAATAAAACAGAAATTTTAAAAGTAAAGAAAATAAAAGCTGGTTGAGTTTTGGGGGTTTTTTTGAGACAGTCTCCCTCTGTCGTCCAGCTGGAGTACACTGGCCCAATCTCAGCTCACTGCAACCTCCGCCTTCTGGGTTCAAGCGATTCTCCTGTCTCAGCCTCCCGAGTAGCTGGGATTAGAGGCATGAGCCATCACGCCTGGCTAATGTTTGTATTTTTAGTAAACAGGGTTTCGCTGGCTGGTCTCAAACTCCTGAACTCAAGTAATCTCCCCGCCTTGGCCTCCCAAAGTGCTGGGACTACAGGCATGAGCCACGACGCCCAGCCTGGTTGAGTTTCTAAGGAAGAGAAACTTGACTTCAGGAGATGAAAGTTACTAGAATGACAAGAGTTACTTGAAGAGTTACTTCACAAACCTAGGACAGACTGAAAGCTGGAAGAGAAAGAGAAAGACAGCCATACAAATCCAGTAAAGAGTAAACCTGGCTGAAATGAATTAAAAAGTGAGACTCTGTCAGACCTCTAAATAGATCCAATGACCCAAAACTCTAGACACCTAACCTAAGATGGACCAGAAACTCATGAGACATTAGGAGACAGTTCAGTGTAGCTAAAAATGTAATTCATAGATGTCTTTTGAGAATTTGTGTTGCCACATTCTGTAACATGAACAGAAAAGCAAATAAAACCAATGTACTGAAAAAGAGAAGAGGCTGGGTATGGTAGCTCACACCAGTAATCCCAACGCTTTGGGAAGCTGAGGCAGGAGGATCACTTGAGCCCAAGAGTTTAAGAACAGCTTAGCTAACACAGCAAGACCCTATCTCTACAAAAAAATTTTTTTAATTAGCAAAAAAAAAAGAGAGAGAAGAGAACGAGTTATACAGAGAGACACAGGGTGGGATGACAAAAACCCAAGTCCTGATAGCTTCCCAAATCTCAATCCCTGTCCCTTCTTGCAGCAAAGCTCTGCACTCCTCCCCTGATGACAAGAGGTACTCCTACAACCTTATGATTAATTTTCCTTTGAACTTCGCTAACACAACTTGTTTTACATTACTAGCCATTAGTATGACTGAACTAATACAAATCCAAAACACTATAGACAAAAAAAAAAAAAAATAGACCAAAATAGGTAATTGGTGCTCAAACCCCAAACCTACCCACTTTGAAAAGGCAATGCAATATGTCTTTTCCATATTCATTTCACATATTTGGCCATCTCCCTCATAGACAAAACAAAAAGCTCAAGCTTGACTGAGAAACATAAGTATCAGCATGCTGTCGGCTTTACGCCCTGGAAAAAATCTGCTCAAACAAATCTTACCTGTTATCAGTGCTGGATCTATTCCTAGCAAGTGTGGAAACAGCAACCGGCAAGCCAAGATTTGAAGAAAGAGTGACATTTTCCAAAATCCCACTGTTACCAAATAATGAATTGGTGAGAAAGCTTGGAAATGATTCTTCTGCTATACCTCGAAAATCTTCCATCTCACTGCAATAACAAAAGTATTTCAATAGGTCACATATTACTGTAAGATGTTTTTAAATGATTAAAAGCATCATCTTAGAAAACTAATAAATCTTAGGAAAAAAATCCTTTTTGTAGCATCAGTAAGGGGGAAATAGGCAAATAGTCTGAGGTAAAATAAATCTCAGAATACTCTGCTACTTTATAGATGAGAATAGAAACCTTAAACATTAAACTTATCTTCTTATAATTAACATAATAACGCAATACAACACATTTTAATTTGCTCTTTGCTTCATGTAGCAAGGAAAAAGAATTACTACAAACTTATCTAGTAAAGAAAGCAAAGATGGCAGAGAACACTGATGGTATATATACAAATGATTTTAGGGCATATTTAAAAGTTTGGTAGTTACGTACTCATTCTAATACAGAACAGAAAAAGTACAACTAGCAAAAATCTAGCCTGGATCTCAGAGTGTCGTTAAGAGCGAATTAAAAAGTGAACACATTCAAAGAAAAATTTTCAGTTAAAGTATAGTTGGCACATGGACAAGGTAAAAGGGGTAAAAGGGGCACACAAATGACTAAATCTGGAAGACACCAGCACAAAACCTACGCTATTACTAGAGAACTTGACCACGGTACTCTGAAGATGTTAGCCAGTCTCAACAATTTTTCAGAGTACGTATCATATACACACTGCATGGAAATCAGTAAAGGAAATAATGACAGGAGGACTAAAAGATAAATAATCAGGAAAAGCTAAAAAAAAGAAAGGATATTGGCAATGTGCCTTGAAGACTGAGAAGAACTTTTAAAAGGCAGAGTATGGGATAAGAGAGTTTATTTAGGATGACAAACATGAGCCAAAAAGGAAAAGAGTTAAATTTTATTGCATATCTACTAACTTAACTCACTGAATCCACAGAAAATCTTACAATATAGGTATTACCCCATTTTACAGATGAGGAAACAAACTGAGAGACTAAATTAGCTCAATTTTCCCAAGGTTGTAATTCGTTAAGATTCAAACCCAGGTCTGACTCGAAAACCCACCCTAAGTGCTATGTCTATGCTGGCAGTAGCAAATACTCCAATGTATTTTGGCAGCAGGTGAACAAAATAACACAGTAAACAAAGCTAGAATGCCAGAATGGAGCCAGATTCTAAAAGTCTGAAACGGTGTATTGGAAAGTTTGAACTGTACTCTGCAACCAACGAAGGACTGGCACAATCAATCCATAGTATGGGAAGGGAGAGGACTTAAACACCTGGAAGACTATTCAAAGAGCTACTTCAGTAACACAGGAGTGTACTAGGATCAACGACAAATTGGATTAAAGCACAGATTTTAGACAGTATGGACTAACTACTCTACAAAATATAAAAAGAAAAGGTTTCACGACCACTAAAGAGAGTATGGGGCAGGTGCGATGGCTCATGTCTGTAATCCCGGCATTTTGGGAGACTGAGGCAGGCGAATCACTTGAGGTCAGGAGTTCAAGACCAGCCTGGCCAAAGACGAGGTGAAACCTCGTCTCTACTAAAAATACAAAAACTAGCCGGGCGTCATGGCGGGCACCGGTTACCCCAGCTACTTGGGAGGCTAAGGCAGGAGAATCAACTGAATCTGCGAGGCAAAGGTTGCAGTGAGCCAAGATTGCAGCCCCGCACTCCAGCCTGGGCGACGGAGCGAGACTCTATCTCCCACCAAAAATAAGAACTTACTTGTTTTGGAATAGGAATTAAAACAAATTAAAGAATGTGTAAGCAGAAACTCAGTTCTATGTAAGAAAACCCAATTTCCCCAAGAAAGAGAAACAGCTGGAGCCCTTCAAAAATTATCTGCCTGTTTTCTGTGGCTAGTGAGCCTTATCTCTCCTCCTTTCCACGGCATTGTGAAGACCCTGTTTCTCTGGCTGTGCAGCTGCAAGGTCACTAGACAGATAAACTCAAGCCGTAAAACATGTTTTTCCCTGGAAAGTAAGAAATGATGTAACGCATGTCTCAATTAATTGAATAACTGTTCTTGTTTCTCGCTTCTGTAGTATGCTATTCCCTGTACAGATCCCCCCCGCCCGCCCCACGAAATGCTTAAAAGGTAGCTTAACTCTTTGAAGGCTCAGACTTGTCCAGGGCTCAGACTTTTTGGATGTTAATCCGACTGGGCTGGTGCACCTAAATAATAAATCCTCCTCAATCCCTCAGTCTGATTCCTAAATTATCCCACAACAGTTTATGAAGTGCCCATGCCCCCGTCTGAAGCCCACCTCTCCACTCTGTACTCGATCCCAGCCCCTCACGGCACTGACAACTACTCTACCAACCGGCCCCCTTTCTTAACGTGATCGAGTCTTCTGTCTGTGCAAGCCCTCCCATGCTGGGCATGCTGCTATTTCTCCCACCTTTTAAAAAAGCCTTCCTCTTCATTATCCCCTGAACTGCCACCACACCTATCCATGCTCCCTTTATCACAGGCTTCCAGAGGAATCATGACTGACCATCCAGTTTTATCACTGTTTATTCTTGCATTTATCTGTCTTCTTCCAGTGAAATAATTTCTCCCTAAGAGCAGGGGCCTTGCCTATCTGTCCATCACTATTTCCTTAACACTTAGAACAATGCTTAGCACACAGCAGGTACTCAGTAAGTATCTGTGAAACTAATGAACGACAACATTCTCAGGCAGTGGGTAACCTCAACTTTAACTTTAACCCCTATATATTTAGAAGAGCAGCTTCTTGGGGAAATGTCTATCTTGTTCATCCATATATTCCCAATACCTGACACAGAAGTGGAAATACAAATTGCAAAAAGGAGTTGTAAGGAAGAATCTGTAACCCCTAGTTTGCTGATACTCAGTGTCTATTATCAAGTAATGTGCTAATTATTTCACATACATTTTTCTAATCCCCATGTCAAATCTGTAAGGTAGCTATCATTCCTATTATTGAGGGAAATGAGGCAGAGAGAATTGAGATGTTTCCAGTCCACACAGCACAAATGAGGCCAGAGGATTCCCACCCAGGCAAGTCTGGCCGCAGGGTATTCTTTCCTCTGCACTAATTCCACCTCCCGGTGGTGCCTGAAGTCCCAGCTCCTCAGGAGGCCACCATGGAAGGCAGCTTGAGCCCAAAAGTTTGAGGCTGCAGTGAGCTATGATCACGCATGTGAATAGCCACTGCAATCCAGCCTGGGCAACAAAGTGAGACTCTGTCTTAAATAAATATACAGGAGCATATGCATCAGTTATATGCAAATACTACACCGATCTATGTAAGGAACTTGAGCATCTAGAGGATTTCAGTGTCCTGGGGTAGGAGCAGGTCCTGGAATCAATTCCATGGATAACCTGAGGGAACAACCACACTTCCAAATGGCTCTCTGACATCTACCTTACCCCCCAATGCAATACAAAATACAAAAGCAAACTTGTTACCTTTCCTCCGTTCCTTCCTGCCGTTATCTTCAGTCTTCGCCCAAATCCATCCCTATTAACTGGCAATACAAGACGGACACCGAGGACCATTCTGATCCCTCCTGCTCTCTCACCAAACTCTAATGCTTCTAACGTCAAATACACCTCTGGAGCCGAGCCCCACTTCTATATTCCTAATGCCGGCTGCCCATCACTTTTTATTCTGGACTATCACACGAGTCTCCCAACTAGCCTCCCCAAGTCTAGCCTTGTAATTACTAAGTTATTCATTCATATACAGACGTGTAAACTATTAAAATGCATACAAAACACTTCAACAGTTGTTCCTATTTAGAAGGGGCCTAATCCAAAGAAAACTCAGAAATTATGCGAAGATCATTCATGCAACAACCATTATGAAACACAAACCATGAAGAACAGTCTACTTGACCCCAAGAATGCAAAAATAAGTAAGGCAGCTCTCCTCAGGGAGCTGACAATCCCTATCAACGACGATAGTGGCAAGTGCTTCAACAGACCTTTGCTAAGGGTGCAAAGGTAACAAAACCCACGGGAAGATTCCTCAAGATGTAACCTAGCACCTAGTCTCTTCTCCAGAAAAGATTACACTTGCAAACCATTCAAGGACGTAACACATTCCTGAAGGAAATTTCCTTTAATTTCTCACATTACTGCATTACCCACCCCTCCTCCATCATCTCAAGTGAAGACAATATGTTATCTCTTCTTCTATATTTGAATTGAGTAGCTATATTTGCAATTTCTCTTGCTATTTCCTTAGAGTAGGGACCTCAAATTTCACATCTGGGTTCACTAATTACATTCCTAGGTACATTACATTCCATAGTACATATGACTACAGTCAGTAATCGTAGGTCTAGGTATACGATTACACACATTTAAAAGCACGTGCCGTGGAACCCAAAGCCGAGCCAAACTTTCCCAAAACTCATCATTTACTCTTGGCACTTTAAGATATACTTTAAAACTAGGTAGGCATTTGGTATATTGTTGTTCGAGGCTTACCGGTTTTGCCCAGAAAGCTGAAATTTGGAGAAAAAGTTGATTTTGGAGCAGTAAAAACGCCAGTCGAATGACCTCAAAATACTAACAGCCAATGGGAATACGGTCATAGGAACAGCTGTTCTCCAAACGACTGCCTTGAAGAGGTCCTCACGTTTTACTAAACAATCTCTGAAATGAACAGCAAAGTACACGCAGAGCGTATTAACATTCGTCTCATTTCCCGCTCTGTTGATAATGAAATCATAGGCAAGCAATGCAGGTGAACTATTAGGAAGAAATGAACGCAACCTGCAGAAACCAAAGCAAGCCAGTCCACGGAGGACAGGGGCATTCAGCATTAGGCTCACAAAGTTACTTCCTGGGTCAGAATTTTAAACAAAAAAGAGAAACAGAGCCGCCCATCACGATGCACAGAAAGCAGCCACCACCGGCCACCGCACAGGCACCTGGCGAGACGCCCAGAGGGAAGCACGGAGAGGGCCGGTCCCTCGAGAGGTGGGAGTCCCCAGACAGGACGGAGGAGAGACAGCCGCGATGCCCTGACAGTCTCTCATCACGCCCGGCCAAAGCGCCGCGACACACGGGCGTGCAATTAACCCCAACCGGGCGCAGCTCGGCTCGGAGGCCGGAGGCCGGGCCAGGCG